CCCCCCCCCCCCCCGTTGTCGTTGCACTCTGCTGTCGCACCAGCAGCGGTGCCAGCGCTGGCTCTCCTCTATCGGCACGTGCCGGCATCTATCACCGTGTCTTCCTAGACTCCTTCCCAACCATTCTACACCACGATGGCACATCAACAACAAACCCTTAATATCAAACAACCTTACTTATCACAACGCCTTTACTGGGCATCCCTTAGCCCTACGTGTCAGCCCCCGAAGCTGCAGTGGTCGCGACCACGTTTGTGGTGGTCTTCCCAAGCGCTTGCACATGTTGTGGTTGTTGTCGGTGTTGTTGGTGTTGGTGTTGTTGATGTTGGTGGTGGTGTTGGTGGGGTTGTCGCCCGTTTTCTCGTCGACATAATCGCATTCCGCGCTATACGAGCTGCCGCCGGCGCTGCGAGGGCTGCGGGGGGGCGTGGGCGGTTCCGTTTTGCCAGAACACCGTCGCAGCCTCGATATCTTGAACGAAAAGGTCGAGCCAGGTGAGGAGGAAGAGGAAGCGGAGGAGGAGGACGAGGAGAACGAGGAGGACGAGGAGGGGGACGGACGGAGCGGGTGTCTCGGAAGACAGACATTCAATTGCGGCAGACGCCGACGCCGCTGCCGCTGCTGCTGCCTAATCTCCGTCGTAGAGTTCGCCAAGCTGTGAGGGGAGCCGCCGGCTTCCCGTCGTTGGGCATGAGGAGGCGGTGACTGGGGGGTTTTCAAGGGGCGAGGGCGGGGTGGCGGGGAAGGGGGGGTGATGTTGTTGGAACCGTGGCAGGAGAACGGTATTCGACAAATATCGATGGCGTTTCGACGTTGATTCTCAAAACTTCCTCACCTTACCCCTCACGACTCATCCCAACGTGTAACTCCTTTCAAGTACTGGTGGACAGTCACGAGGCCCGACACTTTCAACTCGAACGTTATCCAAGAGTGACTTCCCCCCCCGACGAATTAAACAGAACCTCTACTTGTGGCCGAGGCTGGGGTTTCGGTGTCTCACATGGGCTACGAATGGCGCTATACAGGTGTTAGTGCAGGTTCTTATCCTGCCTCACAAAAGTTGCTCAAGTTCTTATGTGTGGTATGGTATAATGTTGAGCGTGAAGTCATTAACCGCCAAGTCGTTACTCGACCTAGGTCACGGCTGCGGAGGAGGCGTTATTTTGGGTCGTTTGTCCCATGCACCACGTGACTTTGAGTCCAAGCAGACCCGTTGCACAACTCAACCTATCGCTCACCCGTCTCTCATGGAAACTTCTGATGAGCGTTCTGAAGACCGTTTGATGCTCGTACTGCTGCCGAGGCGAGATGGTGCCAGGCTCCGAAGACGCCCCCCGCTGCTGCTTCTTATCGCTACCATTGCACGAGCTGCCGCTGGCGTCACTTCTGTATGGGCCAACACCACGGCTGCCGGACGTGTGGGCATCAACCCCGTCATGATCGTGTTCGTTTTCGCCGTAAACCTCTGTAACAGGCCATTCTGCGGCGGGTGGACCTTGCTGCTCCCGCCGCTGCTGTTGGCGTTGTTGCCGCCTCCGTTGCTGGCCTTTCAACGCCTGGGCGGCGGCCTCCTCTCGGCAGAGCTTGTCGTCTTGATGGAACAGCCACTTTCGGACCTCCTCCTCTTCCTCCTCCTCCTCCAGGAGGAGGAGGAGGAGCTGTTCTTGTTGTTGTTGATGATGTTGTTGTTGTTGTTGTTCTTGTTGTTGTTGATGATGCTGTTGTTGTTTTTGGTGTTGTTATTGTTGGTGGTGGTGGTAGTAGTGGCGCGGAGGGGGGAAGGGTCGAGAAACCAGAGTGATCAGTTCGAAAGCGGACGATCCTCACTGAGAACGATGGATGATACGCTATTTTGTACTTCGAAGTAGTTTCGTAGTTCACTGTCGTGGTTCGACGTCGACCGTGTGTTCGCTACCTTTCGCGCGTGATCAGGAGTGGAAAACCCCATAGCCAGGCGTGCTGGTTGGTTTGCATTCTGACATCCCGAACCTCTCTAAGATGGACTTGGTATACGCTTCCTGGGAAATCGTCAGGGCACCTTGGTTACGGTCCCTCTTAATTTCCATACCCAAGACCAGCTTCACCTCTCCCATGTCCGTCATCTTGAACCTTTGTTTCAGCTTCTTTTTGATCATCGAGATGGCGTTGGAGTTGTTACCGGCTAGAAGGAGATCGTCAACGTAGAGCGTCAGGTAGACTTGAACATCGTCGTGGTCGTACAGGTAGACGCAAGTGTCAGACTTGAGCGGAACGAAACCTATCTCAACAAGGAAAGGGTCGATGGTGTGGAACCAGTTGCTGGGGCTTTGGGCCAGCCCGTAGAGGCTCTTCTGTAGCTGCATCACTAGATCGCCTCCATCCTTGTCCTTGACCTCGAAGCCAGGTGGCTGTTCGACGAATACGTTCTCGAGGATGTCAGCGTAAAGGAAGGCTGTAGACAAGTCCATTTGATCCAACTCCAGGTTGAACTGCACGGCTATGCACGCTAACATTCGAATGCTCTGTAACCTGCACACCGGAGCGTAGGTGCTGCCGCAGTCCAGTCCAGGCACTTGGTTTCAGCCTTGCGCCACTAGACGCCCCTTGAAGGAGCCGTCTGCCTTACGCTTGAACACCCATTTGGACTTTATCCGCTTCCTCCCTGGGGGAACTGCCGTGCGCGGGACGAGCTTGTAAACTTGACGTTCCTTCATATTCGCAATCTCGCGCTCTGCAGCTGCGTTCCACTGTTCTCCGTCCGACATGGCCCTTGCCTCTTCAATCGTCTGTGGAACATCCGGTTGGGATGCCCCAGTAGCGTACGCGTATTCCGTGAAACCAAAGGAGCCGTCCCTATGAGCGACTTCAGGGAACTCCCCTTTCGCGGTAAATGCGTAGGAGGTACGACGGAGTTCGCGGATGGTCTTCGCGTTGGGCATGCGCGAACTCGACCTGAAGACGGCAGGTGCCGACGTGGACCCTCGTCCACGACGATAACCATTTCCACTCGTCGAGCCGCGACCTCTACGCGGCGTAGTGCCTCCCCGCGCAGATCCTCCTCGCGAAGATCCACCACGAGCACCTCGGCCACCACGAGACAAACCGCGCCCACGCGCAGATCCACCCCGCGGTACAGCACGTAGCAGGACCAGAAGGCGATGAACCTCGTGGCGTAGGACCAGGTGACGTACCAGGAGGAGACGCACCGTCATTCGTTTCAGGAGGGTTTACTCCCCAGGCGAGACAGGGCTAACCTCCCGTAGGTGTACCACCAGAAGTCCTAGGCGCGTCGTCGGTGGGAGGAATCNCGTACCAGGAGGAGACGCACCGTCATTCGTTTCAGGAGGGTTTACTCCCCAGGCGAGACAGGGCTAACCTCCCGTAGGTGTACCACCAGAAGTCCTAGGCGCGTCGTCGGTGGGAGGAATCCCTGCAGGACTAACCCCAAGGTCACGATTGGTTGTCTCACGGATTTGCTCGAGAAGCTCAATCACAGGTATGTCCCCGACGTCATGATCAGGAGAGTGCGAATCAACTGAGTGGTTGAAAGTGTAGTTTCGCTCGTCTCTTACCATGTCATTGTGGTTGTCGTACGTGAACTCCCCGTGGTCGAAGCCCATCCAACNACAAGGCGTCCTTCCCAAGCACGGTGCTCCAGCTTCCTGGTGTGGGTCTCTTCGTGCACGAACGCCCTTGACCCTATCACCCGAAGGTGACCAAGGTAGGCATCCTTGCCGTAGAGCGCCTTGTACGGCGTCCCGTTTTGCAGGGCTGCATGAGGAACCCGGTTGCTCAGGTAGACTGCCGTCTGGATCAGCTCCCCCCAAAGGAAGTTCGGTAGAGTTGAGTCAGCGAGCAGACAGCGCACGACATTCAAAACCGTCCGACCCGCACGCTCGTTGGCTCCCATCTGCTGAGGGGTGTTCGGAGAGGCGAACTCCAGCTTGATGCCGATGTCTTGACAGTACTGACGGAATTCCGCACTCGTGAATTCTGTGCCCGGATCCCCGCGGAGGCAATGAATGCGTTCGCCGGTAGGAACCACGGTCCCTTTCTTGAACAACGCGAGGGAGTCTACAGAACAGGCCTGGTCCTTCATGAGAACTATCTCCGCCCACTTGGTCTGCTGGTCCACAAACTTGGTGGCGTACTTGAATCCGCCCAACGCTGTAGGTGTGAAGGGGCCAAGGGTGTCGACGGAAACGTGCTGGAAGGGGCGCAGGACGCCGTAGGTGACCTGCTTTGGGTGAGGTTGTTGTGCGCTTTTTCCGAGCGGGCAGACACAACAGTCGTTCACGTTTCCGGTGTAGTCGACGCCGTTGACCGGTTCTTTCCTCAGAACGTCCAAGCTCTTGCCGTTGATGTGCCCCATGCGCCGGTGCCAGAGATCAGCGGACTCCACCTTCAGGGCGAGGGCATCAGGCGCGTCTCCGAGGACCGTCGGGCCCCCAGGTTCACCCCCTAGCTTCACCTCGATAGAGTATATGCGTTTTCCGGTCGTGGCGTCCACCCCGAGGGTCTGCATTGGGAAAACCACGTCCCCTGACTCCAACCTGGGGTTGTCCGGATGAAACAACGTCTCCACCCCTTTTAGCATCGCCAATGTCACGGAGAAGAGGTTGGTGCCAGCCCTGGTACCAAGATGACGCGAAAGGAGACGTGCTGGTCGTTCTCTTTGTCGTCCGTGACGGCCCCGAAGATAGTCCCCGTCGCAACGTCTTTGAGGATATGCTGGCCCGCGGCGACGATCGTGTGTGGGACCCGAAGGTGTTCGACGTCGCGCATGTGAGCCCGAAATCCTGGTGTAAGCCCAGTGTCGAGGTAGTTGTCTGTCACTGTCCACAACCATCCGGATGGACGATCCGTCGGAGCGAAAAGGAGCAAGCGACAACTCTGCATGAGTCGCCATGAACTCACCGAAGAACCCTGAAGGCAGTCGGTGGTCCTGCGCACTCGACGTTGATGAGGCAGATGCCGGTGCCTCCTGTGTGGCGGCAGACGCCGCCGGAGATGGCTGGGAAGAGGAAGCCGACGAGGTTGCCTCTGCCAAGGAAGTTCCGAGTGCGTTGAAGGAGAACCCGAAGTCGGCTCTGACGGAGCCTGTTGCGCCACCGCCGGAGAAGATTGCGCCAGGTGAGCACTCCCGTTATTGGAGAGTTGCAGAAAGTTGGCATGGCTAGCTGGCTGCAGGAGCGCCAGGTTCGCCGCCAACCCTTCAAGCTCCTTTTGCTTGTTTTCCCGGATCTCCTTTTGCTTCAGGCACTCAGCATCGCTGTGTGTCTTGGTGTTGCGGTAGGAGCACCGCTTTGGCTGTACACTTGCACCACCTCCTCCCTTGTTTGCTCCCTTTTTCTTGCTCTGCTTAGGACGGCTCTTTTGGACCTGTTGCGGACAATCGCGCTGAAAGTGTCCGTACGACTTGCATCGGCGGCACTGGTCGGTGTCTGACGCGACCGCCATCGCAGCCCCTCGGCCCGAGACCACGGGGCCCGACGCGTTGCGCGACTGCTGATCCACGAAAAAGCGGTTAGCCGTCGCCTGGAGACTGTCTACTGAAGTAAAATTGTCGCGGTAGTGCATCTCCCTGATGAGCTTAAATTCCGGGGCCTTGGTCAGGCCTGAGAGCATGATGTCCAGGTAGACTGGGTCCGACACTTCCTCCCCCAGCACCTTAAGGCGAAGCTTGAAATCTCACCTCTTTGTGAAGAAGTCGATGGGGTCACCGCCCGCAAGGTGTCGCACNGAGACTGTCTACTGAAGTAAAATTGTCGCGGTAGTGCATCTCCCTGATGAGCTTAAATTCCGGGGCCTTGGTCAGGCCTGAGAGCATGATGTCCAGGTAGACTGGGTCCGACACTTCCTCCCCCAGCACCTTAAGGCGAAGCTTGAAATCTCACCTCTTTGTGAAGAAGTCGATGGGGTCACCGCCCGCAAGGTGTCGCACGTTGAACAGCTCGTTGTGACACGCACGCCGAGCTTCCAGGGTTTGAGCATCAAAACGCTCGTTGAGAGCTCTCCAGGCCGCCGTCCCATCTCCCATGTCACTATCCGCCGCCCCTCCGTGAGTGCGGACAGTGAGCTGCGCAGACCCGGAGGTCACGAAGAAGAGGAGGG